ACCCAGTGCAGTCTGTCAGAATTTTTAAAAAATCATAAAATCCAGGCCAAACACTAAATCACACTGACAACCGAACAGTTGAAAAAAATATTAGAAATCAAGATGAATATTAAAGTACAGTGAATCCTCGATTCCAATGATATTTGTTTCATCCACAAATGAAATATTTAACATTCAGTGTCGAGGAGCCATCGAGCACTAATCGAGTATTTACTGTAGCTAAAAACCCTGCAAACTGGATAAAACATTAAAGACTCAACAAAGTAGAATTGATGCCAATTATTCTGTCTCCCCTGAAGGTCCTCAAGAACTCCCGAGAGTGTTCATCCAAGATGAAAACTTCAATTTGAGTTTTTTCTCCAGTCGAAACTTCAAGAGCTACCAGGTTCCCAAAGTAGCGCCAAAGTTCACGAAAACCGTGGAAAGTTTTCGGTTAAGTCCAGGAAAAAAAAGGAACCCTACGGGTCGGTAATAACTTCGCCATTCGGGGGATGGCTGGAAAAACGTTCGACGGTGGCGTAAACGATTCCAACCCGTGGACCGTCCACAACATGCCGGAAATTCGAAGCGTTTCTCCGCGGAAATGGGTCGACTCCGCGTCCAGGGAAATCCCTATCCTTCATGGGTGGTTCGGGGGGAAAAACAAATTCGTGGACCAATTTCACGCGCGATTGCCACCGATGAGCAGCCACCCAATTTGCAGTCGGAAAATTTTTCCAAACGATAATGAAGTTTTCTTTTTTCAGAAAATGAGCATATTTTTTCCGATGATAAAAATTGGGTCGTACCATTGCAATTAATTATAATTTCGTTTAAATTTGATGAAGGAAAATTTGTATATTAGGGGACAATTTTTGAATGAGGGCAAAATTATTAAGTATAAGGGCAGAGCACTTTTTTAGCTTCTTTAATATGTTTTTAGTGTGATCTCGTTGTCCTACGAACGTGATTTTTCCGATGGGAAGATTTGGGACAAACCACTGTGAATTAGTGCTGTCTTCGTTTGAAACTTAATAAAAAATATTGATTTGATTCTTTTGAATTTGAAAAGATAAGTTGTTTCAAATTTGTTAAAGCATTTATATGATTTTTTATGTTTACAAGATAATATGTTTTAAGTTCGATAAAGAAAAATTTATGGATATTTTATTGTCAAATAAACAAGTCTGTTGATTCAGGCAATAATTACAATTGCTAATAAATAATTGTAATTACGTAAAAATTTACAATTTAGAAATTGTTATTGAAATGTACAGTATGTTTCACAGAATTGTTAGATTATTATAAATTAATATAAATTATTACAACAATCACAAATAATAAATTCCTTAAACATCCATCCTCCAGGGTTTATGAATAAAATAAATCTTCATTAATATTACCCACTATGTGGCGTTAATTTATAAGTGTCAAGTAAATTTCAAAATTATTTAGACACTCTTTATAAATTTGTAAAAGGAAACTGATGTTATGACCGGTAATTCCTGGCTAGAAAATTCAGGTGCACTTTACGGAATAAATTCTTTAAGAGGACAACCACGATAATGGGGCTATCTGGGAAAATTTTAAAATATTTTCCCTGGCTTAGGGGGTGGGAATTTATCTGGAAAATTTCGGGGATGGGCGAAAGTTTACCGCCCACCACGAACTTCGACCAACCCTTGTTTCTGAGCCTGAGAAACGGCCGGAGGGTTCACTCGTAAGGTGTCTGCGTGAATCGTTATCGTTACTTTCGTTGCTTTACTGCCACTAATTGGGCCAAACGACAGACTTTAATCCCCAATTACACCCCCGCCCCCCCGGCGAGACCTCGAGTTTTACATAATTCGTTGTAAATGGTGGTATTCATTCATCTCCATGGTCGAATAAAATTGGAACGATCCTAATGTGATATCCATTTATTTTTAGGGAAAATAAAAAAAATGTATTTTAGATTAAACATCCTGTATTGCACAATTTTTATTCCTTTTTGTTAACAAACTGTGTCTATCAGGGTACATTTTAAGCAATACTGTCTCTCAGGCACTTGTCATTAAAACTATAAATTTTGTTTATTTAATATAAATATGAATCTCTAATAATAGATGAGTTTATGTCCCTATTTATTAATTTCGAAAGAAAGTGAATCGAATGATAATATTTACCAAAGATTGACGAAAATGTTTGGATCATATGGATCGTAAAAGTGAAAGTGAACCACGTGATAGAATATGGGGACGTTGTCTACGACGATCTGTTCCACCTGGCAGATGACAGCCGTCAATTTTTAAAGCGTTCTTTTACTTCCGGTCGCTATTCATAGTGCCTCGGTCGTGGACCTCGGTACACGATCACGTGGAATATAAATCGCAGAAGCCTATAACTTTGTGAAATATCCCTCTAAAAATTACCCTGAGATTCACAAATGAAATTTACCTTAACCAAAAATTATGTAGACAAAAATACTTGAATGAAACTGAAAAATACCCTTAGAAATTTTTTAGTATAGACAGTCAACGGAATAACAAACAGGGAAAAATAAACAAAAAATTATAAAAAAAAATGGAGAAAAATATCCAGGAATTGTAAGATGCATTTACAAAACAGTACCAGCAATCGTTTTTAATTTTATGTCAACTGTTAAGTACGAAAGCAACAATAAACGGTTGAGAAATATCAAGGAAATCCTCACAAAATAGAGAAAAATATCCAGGACTTTCAAGATTAATTTATAAAATAGTACCAACAGCGACTTATTTAATGAAAAAAAATATCAAGAAAAAGGTGAACCCAAGAGATTGCAAAGATAATTCTCCCAGTGGTGATCTCGACCATATTTCAGCCGGAAATAGAGAGAAACCGTCCCAGACGAGGAATTAGCAGACTTTTTCCCACCGTTATCAATAATAATTCGTGATTTCCACGAACGAAAAAGCAACTGAAATGAGAATGAAGCTGTTCAAGAAAGAATGAACAATCTTGGGGGTGAATCGAACGGGGTGGCCAAGAGATCGAGGAGATCCAACCGTGGAAAGAAGGATTTTTCGATATCGAGTGGCGGCGGAGCCGAGTCGACGTCGAGAATTTTCGAGGGCTATGAAAAGATTCCAATTTGTCCTTCGTCGCCCAACGAGCGTTCCACGACAGCCAGTGGAGGGAAAAAAAGAAACTGTGCACCCGAAGGAGGATCTATTCTCGTGGATCGCGAACACTCGACACGCTCTGCCCCTTTCAGTCGACTCGACATTCGCGACAAATATTTCTGTCTATTTCCTTATTCGATTATTGGACGATGATTCGTCCATCCTAACGTAAAATTTGTCATTTATATTAGTAAATAAGAAAGGAGAATAAAATTGGGGAAGTATATATTTATACTATCCCTTTTAGAAATGTTCTTTTAAAATTAAGAAAAATAATTTATTACATATTTTAACTCATAATATGTCCCATAGTTTTGTAGATATGAAATGTATACACATGTGTACATTACGACTCAAGTGAGTTCAGAACATAAGAAATTCAAATTTATCAGGAAAATTAGGATAGAATTTGTAGAAATATAATTTTGTAAAAATATTTCCAGTACCAATAAGTTTCTTATTATCTTAGGTTTAATTCTTTATGAAATAGTGATGTTAATTAATTTGTATGAATAATATATTTCAAAGGATTTAAAGACGTTTCAGAATGCCCAGAAAACAATGGAATTTTGTAAAACTATATGCTCCAGGCGTTTTATATTTACAGTAAGAATTGATTTTTTTTTTTTTTTTCTGAAATTGTGATGTCAATGAACTAGGACATAAACATAGAGAAATTTTCAGGAATATATTTCGAAAGTTCTCAGAGGGATTTAAAGCACCTGTAACCATCTCCATTGAACAAACAATATGCTATTATAGTCCATAGTGTGTACGTGAGTGCGCAAGTCGTCGACGGTTAAGGAGGAAAATTGAAAATAGGATGATAGAACGCGATACGTCGCTGCGTTTTCAGCGTTCTACGTCACACGAAATTACTTTCACGCCCAAGGAAATTTAATTCACGGAATTCCAGCACTTTTTAGGAAAAACATCGTTTTAACATCCTCTGATTTGATCTATGCAACTCAGTAAACCCCCATGAATTTCGCATTAATCCTCTTACACGGTAAATTATAAATTTGTAATTTAATAAAAATTAAAATACTCCGAAAAATTTACTTACATTCACCAAACATATTGTTTTCAATTTTTTAAAGTCATTCAAGATTCAGGAAAATGTTCAACATAAAAACCCTTATTTAACGTAATATTTTTAATTTTTTAAAGTCACTCCAAATGTAAGAAAAATATTTACAAATATTAGATCATTATTAAAGGTACATCCATTTGATTAAGAATGTCTACCTTATAGTCTACACGTACTACTAGCTTCACGGATGCAAAATACCAATTTGCTTCAAATCTAAATATAATGTATATTTTGTACAATAAATTGTAACACCAACAAAAACAGACATCAATTGTCCACAAAATAACATATAACAACCGATCATAGTACTACTAAATTACCTAAATTATTGCAAAAATATATCCTAATAATGTCCAAGAAATTCTCTGCAAGATTTCGCCATCAAATTATAATAAAACGAAATAGTATCTTGGCTCGTGTTCTTTGTGAAAGAACCTAAAAAATATTTCCCAGTTACCCGAATCTACCGTTCGCCATACACACACACACACACACACACACACACACACACACACACACACCTTTAGTAGCGAATTAAAAAACAGCGAAAAGCTCTCCTGGTCTTGAGATGAAAAACGGGAATAATTCCTCGCGGCGTCGAGCATCGCGATTTTCTCGAGAAAAACTCAAAGACGAAGGGGAGAAGAACGCGACACCGTGGAAACACGTGAAGCTTGAAAATATATTTTTCTGCTTGGCAGGGGGAGCATGAAGTAGATCGACGGTGTTCCATTGACCCGTAGGGTTTTTCACCAGCGAGACAAGGAAAAGGAAACAGGACCGAGATGGACAAATGCGGGGTTGAGTTCCCGAAGCACGAGTGGAGCCACCGACTGAGCCTGCGTGCCAGCCGAAGGAGCCATCAGGTAATTACAACAATGACTTTCGAAATACTTTTATCCACGTTTACGAAGCTTAGGGATATGTAATTTGATATAATTGGAAAAGACGCGTTAAGTCGACATTGGAAAATAGCTTTAAAGCATGGAGGACGAGTTAACTCGTCGTTGGAAAATGTGTCATTTATGGGGAATGACGATTTAACTCGTTATTGGAAAACGTGTCATTAATAGAGAACGACGAGTTAACTCGTCAGTGGAAACCACCTTCTCAGTAAGACGAGTTAATTCGTCATTGGAAATGTGTTCCTGTATCACGCACAAATAACATTGTTGGTGGATGAATACCCCAGTTAACGGGTCAATAAAAGGAAGAACAATTCAGAATTGAATATTCAACATAGAACAATGAATGTAAAAAATAAGGATTAGGTGACGTCGTAGTTGTCTGAAGGGAAATCTCGCACATGGGCCTTTAGTAAGTTAGAACAGAAAGTAGCTGTAAAATTCGCGTTGGTAAAAGCGTTGATCGACGGAGTCAAATAACCCCAGAGCCTTCGATGCCCGGTGGTATCGATCCCCCGTTCTCTTATCTTGTTAGTTCTTTTCGCCTGTGAATAATGGACGATTTACCTGGAAGTTTTCGAGGAGCTTCCCATCCCGAACAGCTTCAACGAAGTTGCTATTGCAACGGGTATGAGTGGTGGGATGATCCAGAGTTAGGTCGTGGAAAGTGGGTCGAAGAGTCAGATTCAAGGGACGTAGAAACTATGGAGAACTGCAGATTGTTGGTTCAATCGAGAAAAACTATTGTTATTGGGGATATGAGTAAAAACATGAACAATGTGTCAGATATGATTAATCATGGAACGCTGAAGACATTTATTAGGTCAAATGACACCCATAAGAAAATTTCAAATAAAATATTCCTGAAAGAACAATTCTGTGGGTGCATAGGAACTGGAAAGTTAATAAAGTTATATGGTATAAGAAAGTATTTGCAATATCATTTCCCTTTCAATTAGTGTGTTGCGAATAGAGAGAGAAGTCAATGAGGACTAAGAATTGATAAGCGGTGGCTGGGCCAATTGTGACCCATAATAGGATATCACAAATTAATCCGCTAATTGCACAGAATGAATTGTACTAGTAAGAAAATTTGAAAATTCGTTGTTCATAGAAGTATCCGTCTTTGAGTACACTAGATACTGAAATATGTTTCCATTATGAATATAACAAGATTTTGCTACGCGAATTTCAACGTCAATGGAACCAAGGATCAATCAATTTTTCAGGATTAAATTCAGGAACCAGCATCACGATGTTGTTGGCTGTCCACGTCACCGGCTATTCAAAAGGGCTATGCAACAACGCAACTCATTCATTATTCACGAGTTCATTCTACCGGTAGAAGCGAAGAGTCACACGTTATTACATCGGCGGCGTCCACGAATTACGGGGCGAGAAAGAAGCGATAATCTTGTTAAAGCGAAATTAAAATCGAATCCATCCCCGGGGCATAAACATCATCTGGCTTTCGCGATGAATTAAATGATCGATACGCCTTGACTCGAGGCTGATCAATCCTGAGATTTTTCAATTTGTTAAGTGATCAAACCTGATTCTGTCATAATTGAAATGAATGGAGAAATGCCAACTTATTCTTCTGTACCAACCTAGCAGGCACAAAGCCATCCATTCTGACTGATCCATATAATGTTGATCTATAGATCAATAATCCATAGATCCTTGATTCGTAGATCACTGATCCATAGATGATTGATCTACAGAACAATGAACCACAGAATAATTTATCGATTTATGGAACACTGGACTATATAATAAATAAAATATAAATAATAATAAATTCAATTAAAACTATGAAAAACCCCGACGACAGATGTCATCGACTGAATTCCCTTTAAATAGAATCAACAACAGAAAGGGTCGAGAATAAATTGCTCGAAATTAAATCAAGTACATCTTCCCCAATTTACTATCCAATTAATCAGACAACCGAGTTTGCCTCGACACTGAATTCCAAGGACCACTGCACACTAATTGCATAAATTTTCTTGCTCGAACTTCAATTAAAAACGTAACACGATAACTCTCCAGCGCCCTGATTTTTCCAGTTGTCGAATAAAAGAAAGGGAAACAAATAGAGGTAAACAAAAACAGTCCAAGAATCGCTCTCACGGAAAATGGATTATTCGTTCGGTCAAGCGGGAAAACCTGGTCGTGTGGGAACCACGGTATTTAAAGCAAAATTTCGGTCGACATTACGATAGAGAGGATTCCCGTGACGTGTCACCGCATTGTTTCAACGAGCAATTATTATTGGTCGAATTCGGTACGAAGCAACCGCGAGATCGGTGAACACCGAACAAAGCTGTGTGCGTGATTCCACGCAGCCGAAAGAATTGAATAGAGAGCTTAAGGTTTAAAGCCGTGACGGTGATCGTACAATGGTTTTAGTGCCACAAAGAGCAAGCAGATTTGTATTACGTACGTTCAGAGAATAACAGGATGTACAAAATAGTACAATGTACTGAAAGGTACTCACCAAGTAGGATAATTGTTATATAATTCTGCATTATTACTTTATTCGATAATCTTGTTGAATTCCATATCATTACTTTATTTCATATTGTTATTTAATCCCATATTAAGAATTAATTCTCTATATTTCTATTCGATTCTAAAGCCATATTCCTATCTAATTGTGTATGATTTTTTTCTGAATTAATATGTAATTCAATGCATAATAATACGATAAGTAAAACTGAAGAAAAAGTAAATACGTATTCGCTTAATTAACGATCTCAGCATTTAAAGGAACAATCCAGAGTAATTATGAATGCCAATTTTTTAGAGGAATAAAATATAATAATATTTTTAGAATGAATATGTATTTAACGTTATCATTTGATAACAGTAAGGGATGGAACGTGACCTAATAACCCAGCTCGACGATGAAATTGAATGCAACGACGCGACGATGGAAAATGGGAAAAGTAACTTTTTGGTAGGTTAAGCGGAAACGTGTTTAAAGTGATACCGCGAAATAGTTTGAAAATTTGTGCCAAATGATACGTTATCAGACTTTCCACAGTGACAAAGAATTCATAGATCGTGACGATGGTTTCGAGTGCTTTGAATTACCGAGCCCCAGTCATTGACGAACGATAAGGGTCGTTCAAATCGTCGAGGTATTTTTGGACCTGCATCGCGACAGGTGAATAAGCCAATTTGGACAAAATAACTGAAAGCAATAAATATACTATCGACACTAAATAATTAAATACTATATAATATTCTAATATAATTAGGACTCAAGGTTATTAATATAATTAATAATGTGTTCTGTAATAATTTTATGTGCAAACGTTTTTGCAATATTTAAGTGCATTTTTTATTTAAAAAAAAAAAGATGGTGTCGAATATATACAGTATGACTACCTGAAAATTTCTATTATTTAAATAGTTATTTAATTATTCGGTGTAATAATCATCCTAATTGACATTGATTAGATTAGATTTTAGGAAGTGTTGAAACATCACCTTTCTGGCCCGGAATTCTCACAATACACAGAAATTACAGACACCATATCCCTGGTGGCATTTGCTCATAATTAACGTCCCATGATCATCAATTTCGTGTAATTAACAAGGTGGCAGTTAGCCAGAGCAATATATCGATTTACAAAATTAACCTCCAATGTCGCCATTAGATTCTCTGCATTTCATTTCGTTCGTGTTCGTATAATGGCAAAGGAGATCACGATAACCGACCATGGAGTGAAGTACAATTGAATTTATTCCACTAGTCGAATATTGAACAAGCAGTGAAACTCCTCCCAATTGAATTTCATTCAACTTCCAGTGTCATTAAAACTGAACACGAGTTTCGTTTCCTATTCCCTCCACTTATACTAACAATTTACTACCCTAAATAATTATACAATTCGATTTTGATATAAATAATCACATGGAAATAATTGATAATCATAAAAACAGATATTTACAATTACATTGCTATTGTGATTTCAATTTTGCAATCAGATTACACTTCGCCTAACCCTGCTTTACAGTGTGTTTGTGTTTTATTCGTGTAAGGACAATATTACATGTGGTATAATTGAATTTACTCTACTTTTGAGTGTTTTGAGGACCATCAGATTTATCGAAATTGAAAATCATTCAATTTATAGGTGTCATCAAAATACTGGATGAGTTTTGTAATTTCCTCTCGGTATCAATATGTGTTGATTTGTGTATATTGTGTTGGTTCGTACGTGTTTGTGTGCCGAGATACGGTTTGGCTAGCGAATCTGTAATCTAGACACGCTTCGATAACAGAGACTCGACTAATTTATGCGCGACTCGAATCAGTATCAAGTTTCACGATACTGTGTGCCAAGTTCTGCGGTTTAGGGGCCAGGTGTCTCGAGCGAACTACTAACAAGGTAACCGAAACTTTTGCTACGTGTGAATTCCGAGACATTCGAGAGGTATTAGACGCAGTAGAAACAATTTCGTCGAGAATTATTCACGTGAGATCCAATGTTTCGCACCTTCACGATCATTGGTCGTGCATTCTGTCCAGAAAAAAAATTAATTCTTCGATAGTTACGACACTAATTAAACAAATTCGTTATAAAAAATGTACTAGTAAGAGTAATTCATTAATTAAATATTTATTCATCAAATTATCTATTTCTTGTAGTAAAATTAATTTTTTCAATGGCGACAATCAATTACCTCTATATAGAAATAAAGCTTAATTCACGAGGTAAAGTTACGGGATTAATTCAAAGAATCTACAACAATAATAATTTATACCGATTTAAAAAAACGAAATTGATCTTCAAATTTTCACCCCTCAAAACCAAACAAGTTTTGTCTGAAACAATTTCTTATAAAATGCATCCTGTATAATACATGAGCAAGTAGTAAAAATAAACTTTCTTAAATCTTTGTTTAATTTTTCTGAAAATAGTCGATCGACCAATCATTAAATTCCACTAAAGAAAATCTAGGCAAGTAAGGTTCCAAACACGAGAAAGTCGAGCACGAAAGACAGTTAATTTCTCTCAGAAGGAATTTCCAGGTGGACAACAGCTCTTCCAGTTGATTTGAGTACACGATCGGAAATGACACGCTTTACGAAACTTTATTGATCGGTTGGGCAGAATTAATGAGATCCCCTCGCTGCCTGGTATGATTGCTTCCGTTACGGGAAGAAGATCTCCGGAAAATGTTCTGAACAAGACTGAACGGATATTTGCGTTCCATCAGGCCGGTCAGTTGACACGAGATCGAAAAAAAAAAGAAAAGAAGTAAGGAAAGTGCTTCGATTCCGAATCTGTGATTCTGTCATTATGAAGGATAATTGAAGATATATAGTCCTTAATAGACTCTGTGGATAACATACAGGTGATTGTGATATAGATACCATTGTTGAATTCATGGATCATTTTTTGTATGAGTTGATATCATTTTTTTGAAAATTGGGATGACATCAGGGGCACAAATTAATTAATAAAAATAGGAGTACTGATATTCTACTGATTTTTGAAATTAATTTTCTATCAACTTTCTATTAATCTGCTAGGGCGATGCTTGGGTACATCTTGACCAGAGTTTTAATCTTTAATTAATTTATCATTTAGTTTATTTAAATCCTGATCGATAATACCTGGGTCTATTTTGACCCGAATTTTGAAAACGTAGTTACCATATAATTTAATTAATTTCAAAAGATACTTATTACAATATTTATAACACAACTGTTGTTTGTTGACGAAGAAAATATTACTTCCCAAAGCCTTAAAAAATGTAAATTCTACCTTAAACCCAGAACCACTCAGCAATTCGCTTGACCCTCCGCGACACGAATGGACAGAATCAATAATCCCCATCGATAATTCTCGAAAAAGACTTCATGAATAAATTCTATTCACACGATTCATCTTCAGATCCTCTTTAGTTAAATCCCATCACCAGGAATTCTTCATCGAATCAGAAGGTCTTCTTGAAAGTCAGCCCCAACACAGTATGGAACATTCTAATTAATAATGTTAAACGTAATAAAAGACAAGACCCGGATAAGCCACTATGACGATCGCAAGAAGGATGCATGGCACAAAAGGGTCCAGGATGTAATTAAACATTAAAGGGAATCAAGTGCAATCTCAGAGATACAAAGACAAAGGAGCTTCCCCAGTATCTAATTAATACAATCCAGGATCCTTTACACAAAAATAAAAAAAAAAAAAGAATTCTCAAACGATCTTCCCTGGGGAGTCTCAATTGGAAGAAGGCAGACTAGATTTCTGTCTCCTAATCAGTCGAAGACACCCATCCTACCAGTCTGGTGTGTCTTTTCAGACCGACTTCCTTTTCAAACGAGTCCATATCCACGTGGGAATCGTTCCAGGATATTTTATTAATCCTGTCTTGCTGATGGTGATCGAGAAACTCGAGAATTTTCTGTTATTGGAAATTTTCGAACTGGTCTTCGAGACGACCTCTTCAAGAAGATTCGAATTTAAAATTTCATCCAGCAAGTATACAGACACACTTCAACTCTCTGATGGAAATTCTGATGGGACGTGTGTTATATACATGGTCGGGCTTTTAATTCTACTTTATTTCAATGAAACGAAATTATTCTGGCTTTAATAATATTTCATGAAGTCGGAAAATCGTTCAGGATATTTCTGGCCTCTGTAGGGATGAATTTTTCAGAGATGTTGGAATATGAAGGCGAAGAATAATTTCCAATTAATTCTCCACAGGCTCGAGGTATACTATTATGTTTTCATTGCAGAGGTTTTACCTCGTGTGCGTAGAATAGAAACAGTGGAAATATGGAATCAGGTGAAGAGAATTGTCAGAGGTGAAAATGTAGCAGGTTTATAGAGATTTCGAGATATTACGACGAGGATAATCGTGTAGAATTAAAGGAAAATATGGCAGATTTGTAGATGGACATAAATTGAACTAGGACAATTTAAGATCTTGGGAACCTAAACACTATTATAGAGTGGAAATATCCACGCTTCCTGATCTTATCATGTCGCAGGTGACCTAACTTTAGCTAGAATCGCAAATGATTTAAGTTACATTAACTTTGTAGATGACCTAAGTCAATTTAACCTCTCAGATGGCCTGAATCAACTGAATTTTGTGGATGACATAAGTCAACTTAAGTTTGTACATAACTTAAGTCTACTAAAGTTTGTATATGATCAAAGTCAACTGAAATTTATATGCATATAACCTAAGCAAACTTAAGTGTGATCGCACATAACTAAATTTAATCTAGAATCACAGATGACTCAAGTTCCATTAACTTCGCAGAAGACCCAATCCTACATATACCTCAAACTCCTTAATGTCCCCTAAATCCTCGAATGTTTCAAACTAACCACCACAATACCCTCAACGTACAATACCCCGAAAAAAAAAAAAACGAACAGCAACACCATCGATAAATCCAACCATACAATCTCAGTGTATCATACCTTCGAGGACGGATATCGTCCATTTGAACGGAACAGAAGCTCTTACATCACAATCAACCCTAGATAAACCCCATCGTCACCCCCATCAGGATCAATAACGCGAATCCACTGTATACAAACCGAAACGTTCCCTCGATCTTCAACCCCTTATTTTTCTCCCGATTTCTAGGGCGAGGTTGCCAACAAACCGGTAACCGGATCGGTGAGAAGCACGAGACGATGGGCGAGCCTGAGACAGCACGTGAGCAACAACGAGGCCGGCAAACCGAGAGTCGAGCTGCTCCTTAATCCGTCAGGATCGAGGTCCTCGACGCCTTCCTCCCAGCCGCACACACCGAACACACCCCGTACGCCCCACACGCCCATCAGGAAGTCCAACTGGGAGGTGATCGAGCACTTCACCGGTGCGCCAAGACCCTCCATTATCACGGTGAGTCGCGTCGAAAAGATCGGCACGAGAACAAGGACTTAACACTAGAACTACCAAACAAGTCAAAACGACTTGTCAGTACAAGTCTCTTACAACGATGATTAAAATTTTATAACATTACATTTTCTTGGAATTTTGCAACTTTTATCACGATATGAAAGTGAAGGAATTAGTCAATTTATAAATTTGTAATTTCTCAAAAGTTTATCATATTTATCGACCGATCGAAATACACGTGCGTTTATCGTCGGTTGTTCTAGTGTTAAGGGGAGGGGGTTCTAAGAACGTAATATTCTTGCGAATTTTTTGTAAAAAAAAAAAACATTGTTGAACAGTTTCGTTTGAAATTTGTAGGGTTGTTTTATTGTAGTTCTAACTGTTAATTTAAATTTTAGCGATCAATCAAAAACAGAAATTGGCGTGCAACCATTTTTCGATGTAAAATCTATTATTATTCCCACTCTAATAAATGTACTAGAAATGTATATTCACAGAAATATACAGTCACAAAACTAGTAATTATGTGATTTTGAGGTAGTAAGGAATATGTCGAATTAAGTGCCATTATCAGAAGATCCCTAAATGTCAGTTGATTAAATGTTTCACGAATACGTGAACGATCTGATATCATTGTGGAACATTTGAAACCTGTGAAAAGGGTAAACGTTGATTCAACGAGAATCTTGAAACTGTCCACAGATGGGCAGGGGCTCGGAAGTTGGGGTCGGACTCACAACCGGACGGGAAACATCACAGGAAACCGCCGTGAACACGTCGATAACACAACCACCGAGGAAATGTGCTCTGTGTCGGTTTCTAAACTCGCTATGCGCATCTCACCGCTTCAAAAACTTGCAGGTAATTCGAGAAAATATCCCATGAATGTTTTTGGAATATTTATTATTAAAATTTATGGCTTGAACTCGCCGACCATGAAACATTTAACCATCACAGTAGACTATAATTGATAGACTAAAATTGTAAATTTGCAAAAACATCCGCAGTCTAGAATTATTAAAATTCCAATTTAGTAGATAATAATTGACACCCATCTAAAATCTAAAGGTTATGAAAATGAATAACTATACTATATTTTATCCCAACAAGTTCGACACAATAAACTTGGTTGAGTCTTATATTAAACATAAAAAATGATATTTGATACAAAAAGTTTGATTAAATATGAAACGTAAATAATGAAATTTAGGGAAACTTTTATCTGCCAAAAAACTTCATCAACCCATGAAATATGTACTTTAGTAATTTCTTTTTGTTTAGAACATCCTGTAGTAATTATACCACCGTTCGAAACCTGATAGTAATCCTGCAACATTATTCCCATACCGGTTCTTAGCTACGCCTGCCTAATCCGTTCTACGTATCCGACTTTGAGGACGCTGGATAGTCGTTGAGGAGCTTCTATCAAGGCGGTTGGCTTGGCTTCCTAATCGAACCTTCAGAATATCGGATAATTCCCAGTGCATTGATCCAAACGGAGACTCCATTGTCTGATTGGCAGTATAGGACCGCCAGGAAACCTTTGTCCAATCGCATGGCGTGAAAATTAAATTCTGATTCATCGACGAACGCTCACAGACTCGAATTGTATAACGTAATTACTCGAGACACTTTTAGGAAAGACCATTCGACTGGACCGGACAAAAATAAATCTTCTGAGCAATCGTCGACTAATTAGGGGATCCAACCTTTCTCTGATTAGTCAATGATTGACGTGTATAGAAAATGTTCCCTCTAGTACTAAATTTAGATGTCTGATGGTTCATTGCAATTCGATTGAAAATAGAACGAAACTCGACATTAAGAATTAATATTATCAGATTGGATATTATGTGTGCTCACCATTCTATTATACCTGATCTATATGAGTACTATAGAAAAAGTAATTTGAGAATCGCTTGAACAAAATTTGAGTGAAATATAAGGACGGTTTTGAACTTAACCTCAGTAAAATACTTAACTTAATCTGAATAAAATATTGAGTTTAATTTCAGTAAGATTATGAGCTGAATATGTGTAAAGTATTGAGTTTAATCTGAGCAAATTTTTAGGCTCGATTCGAATAAAAATTTGAACATAATCTGAGCGATGTTTTGAGCTCAACTGGATTAACGTTTGAATTTAACTTGAGTAACGTTTGGGTATAATAATGCCAGTATTAAATCCCGTAGAGCACCATCTGCCCAACTCTGATAATAAATGTGCCTGAACAAAGTAGTGTTTTTTCTACCAGAGCCAACTGTCACTGTCAACGCGTCCTCCTGATTAACGCCCTGCCATTCAATCTTCCTGTCGACGTATTCTCGCACCTCCTTTAATTTTAGTACTCACTAATTCCGACGTTCCAAAGTAAATTTAAACTCCGCCTGTTTTCGTTGTTTTTTTTTTTTTTCGTTTCTCTTTTTCCCGTCGCTAAACTATCGAACCTCGAACCCGAACACGATTTTAAACACGGGCAGCCGAGGCTAAATTAATCCTAGCGCGCCGAACAAAATAGTCGCCGAGTGACGAGCAAAAATTGGAAAACTTTCGTCGATAAACAATGAATAAACTAACTGCCAGTAAAACATTCGCTGGTTCAATTAATCAAGCTGGAATCTACAATGATCCGGACTACATTCTCGAGGAAATTCCACAGTTTTTTCAAATATAATGACAGAAATTTAAAACGTCCATACTAATGAAGCCAAGTTAACATTAATAAATTTTGTTCTGTACAAGTAATACCTGGAAACTAATTACAAATCGTGAAAGAGAAAAAAAGGGAAGACTTACATAGTTATATTTTAGTTAATCTAGTTTGCTGCAGATTTCGATAAATTTCAATACATTCCAATAGATTTCAGTAGACTTCAGTAATCTTCAATAGACCTCAATAGACTTCAGTAGATTTCAGTACTTCTCAGTCACTCTCACTTGATTTTACTTAATTCTAGTTAATGCTAACTAGTGTAAAAAATCAAGTAAAAAAGTTCAAAGAAGTATAGATACCCCAATTTGTGTCTCTACGGTGAAGCATAAAGTAATTGTGGCTCGATAACGCGACCATACACTCAAGGACGGATAAATTCGAATCGTGGATAGTCGTCCGGAGCAATGCACGCTGGGTCATAATAGCGGATGAGCCGCGCGGTATCGTTGATCTTCAGCTCCATAATCGTGATTCCCGACGTATCCTATAACGCAAATCTCAGCTAAGCCAACCTGACTCCATTCCCACGCTCCTGGAGATCCAAGAATATCTTCTCCCAAAGGATCTAGCTTCCTTCATTCAACGCCACCCTATATTGCAACAATGTAGTATTCTTTTTGTTGAGAGTGACTGCAATCTTGACAAAATCCAACAACAACGAACGATAAGAAGCAGTCTATCAAACCGTTTGGTATCAGAAAAAAAAAATGAAAATTTTAAACAAGTAATTTTATTTACAATATATTCACTAACCCACTCATTGCATCTTTTTGGTATCTTGTACAAAAATGTTGTCGTTTTTCATAGAATCAAGAACATGAAACCATTTTAAGATTATTTAAAAACATTCTTTACAATACTTTGTCCTTTTTTTTGTTTACTTTGTTAAAGTAAGGGTCTAGTGTAACAAACAAGTGGTGGTAACATGACACAAGGATAATTAAATTTCCAGAAATATGGTGAAATAATAATAAATTAATTCTCCCGCCATTAGAAGAATATCGCTGGATCGTAAAACGATCGATGAGAAGGATGAAACCTGGAGCAGGCGTGTACCAATTAATTTTAATTAATTTATTCGCTCGAGTGTGCACGATATCACTGCACTATGCAATTTAATTCGCGAACCTGCTCTCAGAGATGAATATTGTGCCCCACCAACCCGCAAGGTGCAATGTTTCCGGGAATGTTACAAGGGACGCATTGTCTCGTTTCCGTGACGCCATTGTGCAGGTGAGCTGCGTCGAGTTATGGGAAAATGTGTCTTCTATGATTTAAACAACCATTTGCAACCCGTCTACCAGAAATAATTTTCTAGTAATTTTACTTCGACTACAAAGTACCTGATCAATAGATTGCAGATGTTTATGCAAATTTATAATTTTGGACATTTGTATGTAAAGAAAAACGAAATTGAATAGAACCATGTTCGCTGGACAATGGGTTTTGATATGTTGAATACTGCTAATTTATACTAGAATTTATACTTTCTTACATTTTGTAAGTCTGGGAACACTATAAATGCATAAATATCCACAATCTAGTAATTAGAAATTTCTATACACAAGGGTGTCCAGCAGAAAAGGATCTAAGGTTCTTAGAGCTCTCCAAGAGGAGTGGAAAATACTTAATCGATATACGCTCTAAAATCGATCTTTTCAATGAAACACACAGAAGAGTTGTTTTCATAATTTTGTACAGGTGATCGATATCTTGCTCTCATTTAAACACAAAATTACATTTTCAAATATTTTCTGGACCCTGTTTTTCGAACACCCTTTATAAGAATATGGGTTACAATCTCCTTAAACGATATTCTGAAAATTGACAAAACTAGGAACTAACAAGAGAATTTTCATACCAGTGAAAATTATTTATCATTATTCTCAGTGAAAGAATTATTTTCTCGCAATTATTATTAGAGGGATTATATTTTTTACGACTGTCAGAGAAATAATTACTTTCTATAATTATTATCAAAGGAATAATTACTTTCTTCATCGTTATTTTCTCGGGAAAAATTGTTTTTAACGAGTGACAGAATACATGTTTTTTCCCGTCATTATTTCCAGGTGGAAATGCTGTACCAAAGATACTTCCTTCGAATGAACCAGAGCAACATGACGCACGTACTGGGCCTGCTGGCGGGACTGGCACTAGCTCTGGGCGTTCTATTAATTCTGAGACTAATTCTAGAAGATAATCAACAGTTTCTAGTCATGCTCGAGAGGCCTGAGAACCTTTCACTAGCTATTACACTGGTTCTCTGCATCGCGGTATATTCTGGTAATTAAAAAATTAATTTTCATCAATGTTACTTTTGAATTCACGATCTATAATAATAAAAATAATAAGATACAAATAACACAGAGAAATCGATACCAACACATTTAAATTGAATCGAGAATGTATGCTACTTTAAGCTATATCTCCAAGTGGATAATGCCAGTGTATGGTCAGACAAAAAAGAAATTAAAATTCTCTATACAGGGTAAAACAAGAAATTTTGTATAACATTAAAATTTTTAATTTTTCGACCCATGTTTATTAGGAATTTTTTTTCATCATTTCGCAAGTACTATTTGTCCCAGAAATTATGAACTTTTATTTTTTGTTTAACCCTGCAAAAAATATCTTCCTTTATCTTTGTGTAGAATGAAAATCACAATATCAACGTTTTGGATAACAATTAATGAACAATTGTCCATTAAAAATATACTTCGCTTCTGTATTCATAAAAATACAGTAAAAATTGTAAAAGCCCCAATTTATACAGATGATATTAATACTTTGATAGTTGATGTTGCAGTTCATTCGCTATTTCCTTTGCCTTTCACTTGGAAATACTACTTAAAAAAAATTTCGCCATATCAACCCCCCCACGAACGATCGAGAAAAACCTAAACGATAAATCCACCTCTGTTCCCACGATCGTCCCCCTAGTGTCGACGAGACAAATGAAATAAAAGAACGTCGGGTGGAATTATCAGCACGAACATATCGAAACAGACACGAGGGCGAAATAATCCCTCGAAGCAGAAGCCCGTAAGCTTCTTCTTCCGTCTTCCGTTCCCTTCCACGACGGTGACAAAGCTCGGCCCATTTGCCGACGGCTCGAAAACGCGCGTCGCGATCGTTTACACGGTGGAACCAGCCGGATAAAAATGGCCCGTTATCCGGTTTCCCATGGTGGGCCATCGGGGAAAATGGAATCGAACGGTAACGGATAGTCGTCGACGGAAATTCTCGCCATTCGAAACTGATGATCATCCTATAATAGTAGTATTACTTTAACTGATAGTTGAGAAAACAGTTAAAGAAAATAGTGTGAAATTTCACAGATTTCATTTTGTAATGGTGAATATTTTATCTATTGCCTGCCATTTACTTTTCATAAAGATCTGAATGCCTGGTAAATAATTTTCAATAGAAATCCGAACACCCAGACCTTCGATTTTTCAATACTAGTATGCTTGACTTATCCTCAATTTTTAATATGGCTGGCCGGAGTCAGCGGTATCATCCTGGTGACTTTACTGGCCCTACAGGTGGCACTGAACATACACCTGGCCCTTGGTTCCAAGGAGCATCGAAGTGGAGGACCCCTGGCCGCGGCCTGGGCCGTCTGTTTCTTCATCTACATGGCCTACGCCCTCCTTCCGATTAGACTGCGTTACGCCTGCATCGCGGGATTCATTTTCTCCGTGGCGCACCTGATCGGCGCGTTCGTCCTCTACCCCTCCCAGTACCCGGCCATGATGGAACACGTGAGTGCTGCTACAAATGACTACTAATCTTCGTTTCGCGTGTCACGATAATCAAGACGAAATCGTTTATTTATCGAACCCGTCCACCTGGAATATAATTGACCGGCCAATGGTAGCACAAAAACTACAATTTTTTAGACGAACACTTCGAATCAGAAAACCTCGGCAAAATGTATTTTTGATCGAAAGAACCTTTAGATTACTGGTGACTATTCAGACTCCTCATAATTTATCGTCTGGAAACATTGGTGACAATTCAGAGTTTATCACTTTACTATTTGGTAGCGTCGTTTCTTATTATTCTACTGGGCTAATAGTCAGAATGGGGACTATAATGATAACAAACTTCCAAAATAGTAATCGCGGAATTATTGCGAACACCAGAGTGCCTAAATTTCTAAATAAAACCCCCAAAGGTAGACTACATTGACTATAAACCCCGAAAATAGTCAGCACGGAGTGACTTTGAACTCCAGAGTGTCTAAATTACTAAATAGAACCTCTCGAAAGGTAGACTGTAATGACTACAAACCTTCAACAATTTCGAAAGGACTATCCTTCATACGGAGATCGTTCCCTGTAGCAGAAACTATAAATATCAAACCTATTTACGAGCCACCACGGATAACGCTCCCGATGAAAGTCTGACGCGGAAACCATCGGTTTCCCAACAGAATGTTGGAAGAGCCTTTTGAGAAATTTGAATACCATGACTCCCCCGGTTATCGCCTCCGACGGAAGTTTCAATGGGCGAACGAGATGAGAGTAAACCATGCACGGAAGCGTCGGTGTCAGTAACGACGCGATTATTACACGCGAAACCGTTGCCATCGGTTCTGCGTCGTTGGGTATCACGACACGAGGAATAGGAACATGCCCGCCCTCAGGTACAACCCGCCGTATATCGTGTGTTAATAATAGACCGTTGGATCAGGTGTAAGACGAGGGCTGGAAGAGAATCTTGCAGGGAACGGTTACAGTCTTGGTCTGTTCCGACGGTTCGTTGATAACGACTCCGTAGTCAACGATCTAGAACGATGCACCGTGAAAATTGTATGCCGTCACGAAGATGTGCAGATATTAATACGATGGTTCATGGAACACACAAGACAGTCCGCATACTTTGAGGAAATTCTGAGCAGGCACTTGGAAATTACGTACTGTTGCCTCTGTGCAGATTTACACTCGTGGGGGAAATTAAATCGAGGATTACGATCCTGGTTAAAAGCATCATTAAGCAGCTGTTTCTTTACATTGGCATGCGACTATTGTAGACATTGTAAGTAGAGAAAGTTTTGAGGAAAGTATAATTAATTGTACTGGGTTACCATGAAAATTAGTACTCCTGGAATTTCTGACTATTCAATATTAGTATGATTGCCTGACCCTCGATTTTTAACGCTGATCTGGTTACCCGACTATCGGCTATCGATACTGAACTGATTACCTGACCCCCGTTAAGAGCACCACTGTAACGAAAATATAAATTTGACTAAATACCTATTTGTAAAAAATTCTGTAAAGAATTTCCGTTTTGCGTTTTTAAATTTATGACTATTCGAGAGATTTTAAGAATTAATATGAATCGATATAACTTTCCTGATTACCACTAATCATAAGCATCGATGTCCACTTTAAACGTTACTATTTAAATGTTATTTAGCAATTGTTTCTGTGTCTATAACAGAACTTATCTGTGACTCGACTTGTTGACTACAAAAAGTCCAAAGGAAAGTGTATTATGGTTCCTAATGTGAAATAGTATTACCATAAAAATTAGTAGTTCAAGAATATGTATGTGACTTTATTAATGATAATAATAGGGTTCTACGTGCAGTACAAAGCAATGCAATACAACAAGGTGACTGAACAATGATTTCTGTTGGTACATTTGTACGAGGTATCGACACGTGTGTTGTATTTACGAGATAGAAAACAATTGCGTTTCGTTTCATTAAATTCCACGGACGCTAAATCTTCGAGGTGCGACTGAACGAGCAACAATGGCCGAGCGAACTAGTTAACGAGCTACAAAGCGGCCTGGCCTAGCCAGCACAACGATCCAGGGGATTATTAACCAAAACTCTGTGATCGATACAGGGGCAGGATATAGAATATGAATAGAAGATACCAACCTCGATACCGTGGCTACCGAGATTCGCGTGCATAGCAAATCATGGTGGAATTATACCAAACAGTTCCGATACCCATAATTAAAATAAAATAACAATTCTATATGAACGATTACGAATAATGGGATCAACGTTATGGTTTCATTTAGGTATTTTCCTCTGAAGACAACTGTTCAATACCATCTAGTCTTAAACGAGGAAAAATTAATCTGACCATTCTAATTCAATAATTAGAATAAAATAAAAATTCCATATGAACGATTACCTACACTAAAATACCAACTAATTCCTTTAAATGATCTTTTACAAAAGTAGAATATTCTTGACAATGAAGTCAAATAAATTTGTCCCTTGTAGTTCAATAATTAAAATAAAAGAACAATTCTATATGGACGATTACCTATAACAGAATATCGACAACCTCAACGATTTCAGTGAAATATATCTTATCCGAAGATGAATATTTTTCCGAAGTCGTGCAATTACGGAAAAATAAATTTTCCGGTACAATCGACCTAATTTGAACGAAACGGAGTCCTCACGGTGGCGTGGACCCACCGAAATTACCGTACATTGAAATTGACGTCTAATTAGCGCGAGTTGCATTGCTCGAGCCACGCTAGCTGATCGTGTTTTGTTCGATTAATCCGGGCCACCTTTGTCCCGGAAGGTTTAACCGTGTCAAAGGGTAGAATTGCTACGCTTCCAACGTCCTCCTCCCTCTCACACGAGGACAAATGAGAAACTGCGGCGACACGACGCCTCCGCGAAACTCCATTTTTCAAGCCGCCACCCCCAGAGCCAAGAGTCGCTGGAAAAATTTCAATTCGCTCCCTCCCAACTTCTACCGCCTGAATTATTCAATAACTGTCAGTGGCAGAATTTTCGTGAAAACGAGTCTACAGTGTATTAAACCGAAAAGAAGAAACTAAATTTATAGTGGTGATATCATGTGGTAAGTTATACAGTGATACCATTGGTGAGAAAAATATTGGGTCGTTGGAAAAGTTTTGATGGATTTTTTCGGAAGTGATGCGATCGATACAATTGTGTTATAATATCATGTGTCGAGAACAGACATTGTGAAAAATATTTATAATTTGTTCGAGGAAGGTTTTATATAAATTCCACTCTATGGTAAACTTGTAAAATTAAGTTCCATAACAATGATATTCGAAAAATTTGTTCATTAGAATTAATATACTCTTTCAGAACAAAACCCATGAAAACTTTTCCACTCATCTAATATTTCGATCGAGTGAGAATTAATGGGACGTAGGTAATTAATTGCAGAATATTATAAATAAATTTAAAATTGAAGAAGCCTAGAGACAGAAAATTATTGTCAAAATATTGATGGTCCTGTTTCTATCCTTACAGAAGAAATAAAGGGAATTCATTTCACGCAGAATGGTAGAAGATTCCAGTCGAACTTATAGTGGTGATGTGACGTTAGAGGATCGTCGATACACCGCAGGGGACATATGCGTCCGTCGATAAAAGATAAGAAAACAGATCGATGCAAGCAAGGGAAAGCATAAAGCCGACAGCATAGACAAGGTCGTAGCTGAAATCTCCCGGCAACAGTTCGTAGTTATTGGATTTCCTGCTAGCTTTGTGTCTTCATCCATCAACTCACATGGCCCCCTCTCCGCGGCGCAATTTATTTAAGTTTTATTATGCTGAAAGCATTGGCCAAGCAGCTGCTCGATGCTACATACATCGACGTTCGTCGAAGCACCGATACTTTGACCCTGACCAACCGATTGAACACTCACATTTACATCTTCAGATATTCTTCGATTAAATTGATGTGCATATGTATGTTCTACTGTAGCCTGATATAAAATTCATTGAAATTCTATTCAGTCAAAGACTATTTCCACCGAGGGGCCGTTTTCCACCGAGGGGCCGTTTTCCACCGAGGGGCCGTTTTCCACCGAGGGGCCGTTTTCCACCGAGGGGCCGTTTTCCACCGAGGGGCCGTTTTCCACCGAGGGGCCGTTTTCCACCGAGGGGCCGTTTTCCACCGAGGGGCCGTTTTCCACCGAGGGGCCGTTTTCCACCGAGGGGCCGTTTTCCACCGAGGGGCCGTTTTCCACCGAGGGACCATTTTCCACCGAGGGACCATTTTCCACCGAGGGACCATTTTCCACCGAGGGACCATTTTCCACCGAGGGACTATTTTCCACCGAGGGACTATTTTCCACCGAGGGACTATTTTCCATGCAATGACTGTTCTTCGTCCAATGACTATTCTTCGTCATCAGACTGTTTTTCATCCAGAGAATATTACCCAATTAATATAAATATTATTTCAAGACTACAAAGAACCTACTAAGAAATTCACATTAAATTATCCTCGAACAATCCTAACTACCCCTAAGTAATACCTGCAGGAGAAACGGTCGCCCAGACGTTGAGAACAGGAAGAAAAATAGACGGACGAACTAGTCACGTAGGTTTAAAAGACACGAACGAAAAAACCTCGTTCATAACTGTTCACAGAACGACAAATTATCCTGACTGGCGACGTGACTCAGCTGTTGGGGGTGGATTGGTGGTACTGGCACGAATCTGAAGTCAAGACGCTGGCTGCAATCACACCGCGCACGGTTAGGACGTGACGTCCACCTCTATTAGAGACATCTTCTGTTCGACGTGTCTACCGGGTGTCCGACACCCCTTTGAACCCAGACCGTTCAATCCCGACAGAGCTGGTTATACAGCCTGTCAAAGCGTCGACTGCATGTTAACAGGTCAGGAATGAACGACGACGTGCAAAAGGAATTCGTTATAAGGCGGCCTGAATATGGAATACGTCAGGACTCCACCTTTGGGTCTCCAACGTCCAGCATCAGAAACCTG